TTGTTTTTTTTTTTTTTACTTTTTTCTTTTCTTTTTTTTTTTTTAATGAGTGGTATAGATGAAACGGATCAGTTTGAGGCTAAAGTGAAAACTTACCAGATATAAGCAGGAGGTTGAGTATCCCCCATATCGTAGCGTGCCAAACCTTATCATTTCTCTGCATTGCTCCTTAGACTTTTACCACCTATTACATCATTCCAAGGTATGAATTGAAGCAAGTTTGACTTATATGCCTTGTGTTGGTACATTACCCCTTACATCCATGTGTCCAACAGAACCCAAGTCCGAAGAAGGTGTCCGTACTCGTTGTCTGCCTTTCCAAGCGGCAGCCGTAGCTGTAACGTAGCAGTTGTAGTCGTAAGCACTGGCGGCAGTAGTAGTGGTAGTCGTAGTAATAGTAGTAGTAGTAGTGGAAATGATAGCACTGATGATGATGATGATGATGATGATGATGATGATGATGATGATGGTCGCACTTATGCTACTAGTAGTAGTAATAGTCGTAGTATTATAATGATATTAAGAATAAAAAAAGCAGGTATTGACTATTGCTGAAGTTATTATAGTCGCACTAGTGTTACCAAAAGGTAGGTTGAAGGCGGTAGCTTTTGCTTCACACTAGGGGTGACGGTGGCTACGCGGATATTTAGAGTAATCGTAGTATTATTTTATGGAGTAGTAGTCGTAACAATAGTAATGGGTTCGTTACTGAAGTAGCAGTATTATTGTAATAGTAGTTGTATTAATGTTAACAACAACAATAATAATAATAATATCAACTGTTGCCAGAGTGCAAGTCAATTCAAGCTTGTGTCGGCGTGTAGTAATAATATTAATAATAAGATTATTACGGAGATCCGTCAGCGCGTGTTGCTTTATTAAGACAAGTTGATTATTATTTATTTTGTTTCTTTAGTAATAATGATAATAATAGTCTTTACGGCGGTGTGTGGCTATTACCGCGGCGGTAGTGGTGGTGGTGGTGGAGTTGGTGATAATGAATGGCGTATGATGGCGGTGGTGGAGGAAGTTATATCTGTAGAACGGTAGTCGTTAGAACAACCGTGTTTTGCTCTATTACGACTACTGTTAAGTGAAGAAACATCGTAATTGTTCAACAACTGTTATTATTATTATTATTATTATTATTATTATTGGCGATAGGAGCTGTAGGGTAACGTTAATACCAGAAGATATATTAGTGTTTGTTCAGTATAAAACGGACTGAGTAATTTGTACGCGACTTTATTTTTTTTTACCAATCTGTTTATTTTTCTTTATTGTACTAAGTGGACTTTTTATACTAATGTTCAACAATACAAGGTCCAAGAGCCACTCAAGGCAGAGGGTCATCTTGTGGTGTTGTATGGGCGTAAGAAAAGTCAAGAAGTGAAGTTTATGGGACGATGCGGGAAAGATAACGTTTAACCCTAGCCTCGAAGAGGTCAAGACTGTTATATAAACATATATTTGTTAGTACTTGGAATTGTTGCTATTGAATTTATTGTATCGATCTTTCTTTGTATTAGTTTATTATTATTTATTGCTGTTGTTGCATATTCTTCTTCTATGTGGCTTTCTCTTTCAGGACGTGAATGATGAATGCTCTTCACAATTTCTTGTTATTTGTAACCTTTTGTAATATAATTGTTGCTTTTAGTTATTTCTCCTAATGATTCCTAATCCCTTTTCTACCAACCAATGTAAAGAAGCTCGTTAGGTAGGTTACGCGCTGCTTTTCAATGTCCTGTCACTGTTAAATTTTCTAAGCCCTCTCCTTTTCATTAAAATTGTCGAAGTTTTTGTACATACCTGCTGGGCGTATAATGAAGACAATATCTTAGAATTCAAACAGAATATTTTATCAGTGAGGTTAATATTTATCAATGTTTATGTCTTCATTTACCTTTACGTTTTTCCAGATCGGGTAGATCCTTTTTTATCCATTTCACTCCCCAAAAGGCGGTAATGCCACTAAGATACAACGGGTTGCTGGTAGTGAAAGAGAACGAGAAGAATCTAGGAGTAAAAACCGGAAACTCAATCCTAAACAGGAAACAAAGGATAAAATTATACACCTGTTTAAAAGTCAGGGAAAGAATGTGAACTGGGCGATATACATGGAATTGTTTTTTTTTTCGGTAATACCACAGGAAACGTAACTCAATTCCTGGATAAGCATAAGATAACTTCGCATGATTTATTTATTTATTATTAAATTTATAAAAATGTTGAAGATCCATAAACGAATCCAGGTGATACTGAAATTAAGTTACCAGTGTTCTAAACACTTCTCCGTTGTCACTAACTTTCTGTATCATTTTTTTTGTTTAATTGATTAGAAAAAAAAGAAAATTCTAGTCTCTTTGCTTCCTGAAATAATCATTTACAAAGTGCTACGTCAATAGAACGGTGAACGAGTCCCGTATATAGTGCAGATATTTAGTTCTACCATTTGTGAGAAATATGCACTGTATAAGATCGTTTGAACTATGAAAGTTCAGGCTAACGGCCATATCACGTTCAAACACTGGATCTCTTACAATCATCGAAGTTAAGCAACGTCGAGTCAGGTCAGTACCTAGATGGGTGACCTCTTTGGAATACCAAGTGCTATAAATTTGGATGTGCAGTTGGAATAATGGATAACAGCTCGGAATTGTTAATTGGAGAGTCGAATTACTTATATTATCTAAAATATTTTCTGTGTTTGAAAGGTGGATAAGCTTTAAAAAACAAATCTATCAATAAATTTATACATGTTCAAAAGTTAACCTGGTAGACTTACCTGTATTTTGCGGCCGTTTCTAATATTTTCAGCCGATAACGAAAACTTTTGTCTATATTTCTCAGATGAAGTATTGTAATTACTTACCCTATTTACATTGTTCGGACTGTTGTCCTCGACTTTGTTGACATATTCAAGTCGTTTCGCCCGTTGAACGCTCCGGCCTTCTTCAGGTGATTGGATTTTCGAACCGAACCCTTTATTTCGTCCATATGGCCCAGTGGATAAAAGCGTTCGTTAAAGTACTCCAGTGACTTGGACCAAAGTGTTGTGAGTTCAATACATGGCCATGGTGAGGTGAACAAAAAGGGAGTTGAGCTAAAGGGAAATAACTGAAATTGAGATGTCCGGAAGCGGCATGACACGTGGAACTAGAACAATCTACACTCGTGGACGAAATACAGGGTTCGGTTCGAAATTTCAATCACCTGAAGAAGGCCGGATCGTACAACAGACGAAACGTCGTGAATATGATGACAAAGATGAGAACAACTGTACGGAAAATTTTGTTTCAAGTCTTGATGGAACATTGGCCAAACACACTTTGCCGAACTACGTCATTTAGCCTTTTGATATCCTATGCTTATCGACAAGAACATTTTTCATTCAAATTTTACAAAGGTAAACATGCGTCTTTTCGATATGAAACGAAATTTTTGAATATTTCTTACGAACAGACACATGTATTAAGTTTATTCATATTCAGTTTCTTCTGTTATTATTATTATTATTGTTGTTGTTGTTATTATTATTATTATTATTATTCTAGGGTCTTTAATGGCTAGGATGGATCAGTGGAATCAGCGAATCAAAATTCCGACCAAGCATGTTATACTCACTTTCGACCTAATGCCTCTGAGAAAGACATGAAACCGACCTTTCCCTCCAACCCAGCTATAAATACATAGCAGTAAACTTTATAGCTTTGGCTGAACACGTGGTTTAAAGGGAAGAAAATTCTGAACTTCAGACTGTTGTGAGAGCAAAGGTGGAAAAAAATCCTATCTTTTTGAAGAATTAATAGCAGTTCGCAGATATGAAAGAAAATCAAGAAGCAGAAGGAACATGCCATTTTAAAATCAATAAGTACGAAGAAAAATAGTAAAGGGTAAAAAGTTAATTAGAGCAAAATAAAAAAAGATGTGGAGGGCCATGATCACCCAAGTCCTGAAAGGCCATGGTTCATTACAGAATGTTAATGTTCTTCGTTCTGTGAGGAAAAGTCTTTTTCACTGTTCAAAAAATGATAATTGTCGTATAAATTTTTTTGTTAAAATATTAAACAGGAACTTTTGACGGAGAAAATAACAATCTTCGATGTAAGTAATTTGTGTCTCATGCGGAAATTAACTCAGCTGATATCATTTAATAGCCTTCTCAGTTTAACTTTCCCAGCTGACATGGACTGAAAATACTATATTAAATCCATTGTTCAGTGAGCTTCTAAGAAAGTCGGTTCACTGTGTCGTGCGAGACAATTTTTCTCTCCAGAATCTATCTTACATATCTATAAGTATACCATTCGTCCATGCTTACAATATTACCGCCACATATCGCCCGGTTCTCATGCAATATATCTAGAGACCATTGGTAAAACCCAAAGAAGAATCAGCAATATTATTGGTCCTGATCTGGCGATTCGATTTCAGTTACTTTTCTACTGCCTCTCTGTGTCTTTTCTATAAATACTTTCACGGCAATTGTTCGGTTCTGTTCTTCGCTGTGAGAATTTTTTAATTTAACCGCAGTATTAGCCTGGCGTCGAGATCTCATCAATTTCCAGTTGAGCTGGCTAGATGTAAACGTTCATTTTATGCTAACAGTTTCTTTTCTTGCACTTACCGCTTGTGGAACTGCCTTTCGGTTCCATGCTTTTCAGCCAACATTAATCTGCAAAAGTTTAAATGCAATGTTAATCGCTATCTACTGTCCCCTTGATTACTCTTTCCTCTTCCCGCTCATTATTAATGTTTCTGTTCCTAATTCTTCCACAACCTCTAACCCTTTGTGTTTTAGTGGGTTTACTGCCTTGCATGGGTTGATAGCGTTTTAAAAGAAATATTAACAGGATTTGAATAAAAAAAAATCCTTTATGACATTTGTACCTTTTGTGTTTACCGTGCTTATGAGTTTAAAAAAAATCCTGATCGCTCAACTAAATAAAATTCATATTGAAAAAAGAAACCGAAAAGTACATCAACCAAGGACCCTA